GTCTTAATGTTACCCGTCTATGTGACGTTACATCTTCCTCTGCGCTTCATTTATTTATTAAACTTTTAATTAACTCTGTTGTTTCAGTTCTACTGTTTCTACTTGATGACAAAAACCTCATGTACCTGTGTCATGTTTTCCCTTTCTGTGTGATGTACCGTGTCCTCAATCCACTGCACAGCCATTACCGAAATCAAAACAGGACCAGCATTTATTATTTTCTCTAAAGTCAGATTTCAGGAGACACAACCGTCGACGCAGTGATATGATCTGTTGCTTCACAGTGAGAAAGTTGCAAGATCGCTTACCCACTTCACTGTGTGACAGATGTTGTGCAATTTAATCATAAAAATGAGAGCGTCAGAGTTCAGGGCACCTTGTATCCATTGAACTGTCTGGCTGCTTGTTCATGTTTATTGCCACGGGATCTCAAATGATTAAAAGCCTGAATCAAATCACAGTTACTGTAACGCAGACAAAAAAACACCTTCTTTCAAAATAATCAATTGTACCTGGATGTGCAAAGAGTTTCTAAGACCATGTAAAAGCAGAATTAAAACTTTTTATGTCTTGATAAAAGCAGCACCTTCAGCACATTAACACAAAAGAAAATGGAGGTAGTGATGTGTAGCTTGATACTGAAATATTGTTACGACTGATACCAGAGCTTATCGCTCTAAAATCAATACTAAAATCCAAATATCAATACTTTGATACTTCAGTCATTTCAGGTAATGTATATCATTAACAGGAACACAGTGGAAAGTAACTAAACTATTGAAATCTTTTCTAAATCATATGCTACTGTTGGGAACTACTTTTTCTTCCGCCTGTAATGCATAAGCACAGCGGCACAAGCTCAGTTTTTATGTGAAAATGATCATGTAGCATGAGTTAAGACCCAGGTTTTCATTTTTATAGTAGTGCTTAATCATTTATTTTAATGGTTTTATTATTTTTATTTATTTATTTATTTTTTTAGCATTCAGACACCATTTTCACATATTTTAATCCTGTGGTTGTTGTTTTTTTCTGTTGTTATCTCAGCTATAATGTAAATGAGGGCTCTACATAAACATAGTTCTGATTTTAAAGTGTCTTGTATTCTTAATGAAGTGTAATATCACTGATACCAGCCTGAGTTTTACTCGATTTCAGAATCTGACAGGAAAATGGTGGTAGTATTGAGCAACAGGAATATTAATATCTATAAATGTGTTTCTACTGTTATGTAAACAAACAACCATCAATAAATGCTGATCAGTTTTTGGCAGACCTTCTTGCAGGTCATCTTTAAATGGGAACAATTTGAAGTTCTGTTTGGTTTATTTAGCAGCAGGTGGTTGCAGGTGAACACTCACTCCACAATTGATTAATTAATCAATTCTTAATCATCACCACATTGTTGCTTTACATCGAACAAACTGAATCAGCAAAACAGGCTGAGGTGGGATGTACGCCGCTGGTTGTTGAACGGAGGCTGAATCGTGCAGACCCCGCCCGCACGACGCGCCGCCAAGCGCGCCGTAATATAAATAGTGCGGAGCCCCTCTCTGGGCTGAGGGTTGGCCGTGCAGCTGCTGAGCTGGGGAGGTGACGGTGGCGCTGCGTCGCGCACAGAGGGAAACTTCACGGCGGCGGCTGCGGGTGTGGCTTCGAACTGTAAATCGACGCGGGGAAAGAATGTGCGGCGGCCGTTCGGATTAAGGTTAAATCATTTCTATGAGTTAAGAAAACAAACTGAAAAGTGGGGAGTCCGCTACCTTCAGCTGGGGGATGTGTACGCTCGTTTTGCAACAGCGGGAGTACTTTTTTTTAAAAAAAGCCGAACTTTTTTGTTTTCTCCTTTTTTAACCTGCTTTGATGTTCCGCCGTGAGGACTAGTTAAAGTTAACCGAGGAAAGTTGTGTTTTTTTCTCCCCCAAGTGCTTTTTAACTCAACTCAATATTTGTTTTTGGAGGATTTTTGAACTTGCGTTTGAAGAAAATAACTTTTTTGTTTTAAATAAATCTTTATGAACAGACTCCGTCACGCTTGTCGCAACTCAAAAAGGGAAGTCGTTTTACTCAACTTCAGCCCTTGTTGTACGCAGGGGGCAGTTTTAGGGAGTTCGTCGTGAAATATATATATTTTTTTATTTTCTCCTGGTATTTTTCCCCATCAAACAGCAGACCTGAAGCGAGCACTGGGAACCATGGGCTGTACAGTTAGTCAGGAAGACAAAGCTGCGGCCGAGAGGTCAAAAATGATTGATAGAAAACTAAAAGAAGATGATGAAAAGTCGCAGAGAGAAGTGAAACTGCTGCTGCTGGGTGAGTATTTTGTCACACTGGGGTTGTAGAAGTTGCTACAAGTTAGTCACGTTTTGCTTTATTGAACTTAACATATTGGTTTGCCTGCTGTTTTTTTTAAACACATTACTTTGTCTTTAGGCTGAGAAATGCTTTGACACATAAGGGTTGCTGTGACATTGCTGAGTTTAGAGGAGCAACAGCAGGAAGTCCTGGCCAACAACCCAGTTTTACAACATGCTCAGTCTGGGTATTATTGTGGGATTATTGGAAAGATGGTTAAAAACAAAAAAAGGGGCCAGATTTGAAGTGGTTTTCTGCAGGGTTTGACTTGGGGAAGTCAGCGTTAGCAGGGTCTGGTTGATAATGAGTGGGTGAGTGTTTGCATGGAGAAATAGACAGGCCTGAGTGTTCCCAGGTTCTGTCCAGTGAGCACAAACACACATTAAAGAAGATCCACAAGACAGACTTTTCATGAGCCTTTTAGATTAATTTTTTTTGTTAAAGGAGTTTAACATCGAGTTCCCGTTTACTTCCTTGCGAGTGTCGTTCTCATTGCCTTGTTCAATATTTCAAAACCACACAGCAGGATATAAAAAGTAATATTGCTCCTGTGAGCATAAACATGAAAGACAACATGCTGCTGAAACTTTGACAGCTGCACGTTTCCAGGAAGTCGGCGTGACAAAATGTCCTCCGTGGGAAATGTTTGGAGAAATTCGCTGAAAACGAATGTTTACTGCATTTTTCTTCAGCTTTTTGTCCTTTTTTTTTTTTTTTTTTTTTTGTCCAGAAAGAAGTCGAGATCAATAAGACAAGAACTTATTTTGATTTTGTCCACTACTTCAAGTCAGCTTTTGTGTCACTGGAGCTTGATTTTAATTTTGGAAAGAGTTAGTGCAGCTCAAATATTAAAAAAAAGTCACAGGACTGACTTGACAGAGGGCAGAAAATTGATTTTGGATTGATAGTAAAGCCTCGGTGAGTCTCTGAAGAAGAGGTGGCTGGTTGAGTCGTGCCCTCGGTTTGAAGGCTAATTACATCCTCGACTCTGTGGAGCTGGATCTGAGATCAGTAATTACCATCCGGTGCAGTCGCTGAGGGTTGAGAGAATTACAGGAGAGCTCTGAATCTGAGATGAAAGTTTGTGCCGTTTTTTTTTTTTTTTTGAGACAACGTCACGCAGATCAGTGTTTGCCCTTCACTTTTGCAGTTGGAGAGACGTGTTGCAGCACTTGGAGCCTTTACCTGATGAAACCTGCAGTTTCTCAAGTTTTTTCTTTTTCTTTTTTTTTAAGTCGGGGCAGGGTATCAGGAACAGGAAGCAAATTAAATGTGGTTTTGACTACACTCTTGGTTGATGAAGGTTTCCTTTAAACAGATTCCATAAACGATGCATTGCGGCTTCGAGTTGCGGATGAGAATGTTGCATCCTTCCAGAGGTGTCGCATCACTCCTCCATGGTTTTTTTTTTTTTAAAGATGCCTGCTGCCATCAGATTTCTCTGAACATCTAACTTCTTACGGCTTCCTCCTCAGCAGAGATGACTTCTCTTGGAAGCTGTGACTCGAACAAACTGCTGCAGGATTTCCGGTGCAAATCCAAGCCTAATTTCTTCGTACAGGTGAAGACAGAAACGCCGCCTCTCATTTAGAATAACCCCGGATTCACGGTCTTTAGGAAGTCTCACTGCAGAGAGTCTCATTTAAATGTTTCCTCCCCTTAATGTTTTAAAAGCTATAAACAGCCAAATGTCATTAGAGGTTTCCATAGTGACAGCTTTGGTTAAATCTGCCTCACCTTAAGAAGGGCTGTGTGAGAGTGAGAGTGCGTTTTGTCTTGTTAGTTGTCCCCAGAAGAAGCCATTAGTTAATGTAGCGGTGAGGATTTCATGCTGTCCAGGCCTGAGCCTTCATTAACGGGGGAGCAAACACTCGCTCACAGGCTTTTGTGTGTTTTTTATTTTATTTTATTTTATTTTTTATTTCTGTTGGCGTCTGACATCCAACCTGTCCCCTTACAGGGACACTTTCTATTTGTGTAGGAACTTCCTTCATTTTCCCTTTTTTTTTTTTAAGCGCTTTGTGCAAATGAACGTTTCCACTTGACAGCGTCGTCTGCATTAAATGCGAGCGCAGCAACACGTTAGCAGAACAAGAATAAAGCATCTCAGCTTGACGCGCTGTGAACACGTCGCACACATGCAGCCCTACCAGTCTCTGTTGTAAACGGGCTTGACGGGAAGTGCCGTTATGTAAATGCTTTGGCACACAAACGGCGAGCATGCAAACAGCCGGCGGGCGCCGTCCAGAAGCCTTTCCACCGAACACAAATCTGTTAGCATCGCTCTAAAAATATGATCAACGCGTGTGCAAATTAAGAAGTGGAATTTGTGCCTTTTTTTATCTCACAGCTGTCAAGTTGAGGGAAGAAGAAGTGAAAAATTAAACCTGTTTTTCCGAGCTGGAGCCAAGATGTACAGATTGTGATCTTGGAAAGAGGACGGTTTGGTTTGTTTTGGGTTCTTTTTAACAACTGTTTCCATTGAGGCTTTTTTATGGCATCATATACAGGCCATGTAACGCACCWCACATTGCAGGCTCTGTTTACGACTTAGTCACACCTGTAGTAGTGTCCTCGATTCTGTAAAACTAGATTCTCAAAGTTGGAGCGATAATGCTTTTACAGCCATGTTGTTGTTAATGTTGAAACATGTTATTGAAGAAAGCATATTGGTGTATCTTTGGTTTTTGCACAACTTTTCTTCGAGTGTCCATTCATTATTGATCACTTATATACTTTTAAGTTGCCATATTTAATACTTTGCATTTATTTCTAGATATTTCTGACCAAATGTTTCATTTGACCTTCCATATATCTTTAAAAGGAAAGCCACAGTTTGAGAACAAAGTTGCTTTAGATGAACTTAACGGCTTCAAGTAAATTTCAAGGCTCAGCATTAGCATGGCTAATTATTAAGAAAGTGATGGTGCCACAGTTAAAGTCTTAGCGTTTGGAGAGCCAGAAGTATGGCTGTTATTGAAGTAAAAAAATAATCTTGCATATTTGTTCTGATTTCATCCCAGTAAAACGTATCAGGTAGACCTTTAGATTATTTCACCGACCTGCAAAAATCTGGGAGTGATCTGTCAAAACCAGTTTCTTTCCCATTATGTGCTTTGCATCTTGTCATTGCAAAACACTCTGCACTGTTATCAATAAATGGTAGAATAAATCCACGATCAAAATCTTGATGGATCCCCTTATCATACTGCACGGTTTAAGCAGCATATTAGAGCTGAGTTCAGTTTCAGCAGCTGTCCTTTTTTTTAATAGTCATTTATTTACTGAAGACTGCAGACCGTCACATGGTTTACTGTTGGTCAGCCCGTGTGGTCAGCGCTGCGCAGACACACAGCACCTCCCTCTTATTAAAGCCCGAGGCAGCGCTTAAGTGGGTGTCAGGTGTAATTACAGTCATCTGGTTATACAGACCTGGGCTTCTCTTGAGAGAGAACTAGTTGAAGTGACCTGCAGGAATAAACAGCTGTATTTTTCAGTATCTTCTGAGGACACCTTTACARTTCTTCACATAATCTAATCCGATAAACACTTACTGGACCTAGCAGCTGTCTTTCAATAAGGCACATTGGCAGGTCTGTTGGCAGTTCTACGATATGCTTCAAACAAGTAAAGTGACTTGATCTTGTTTACTCAACAGTCTGTGGCACAGCACTGACCAATTAGCTGTATGACGCACTGGATGGTGGTTCTGTGAATGTGTCTGTGAAGAAGCCGAATATCCTGCAATTACAGGGAGTGCTCTGAAGATAAAACCTCCTTCTGCAGACTGCGTGTCTCATTGCAGGTCCACAGAGATTTGACTACACTGTCCTTTCTGCTCTGGAGACGGTGGTGTCTTACTGCCTTAATTCCCACCTTTTATCCAGACTGAACTGCCTTATTCTTGCACTCTTCCTGCTGCTTCAGAAAACCAYCACTTGAGCAACATCGGGGCTTTTGTTCCCTTCTTTATTCTACAGAATCCTGTAAAGATACGGCTTAAAAATCAGGAAAGTGTTATTTTTCACGAAACACTATAAAAATACATCGCATCCCTCCAAGACAAACAGAATAGACTGTGATCGCTGACCACCTACAAGCTCTTGACTCATCTGTTGCATCTTYTGGTAGTGTTTACAGATGAATACAATTTAAATGAGCTTGAAAACATTAGATGGACGTGAGGAGATGTGAATTTCATGTAAGGCTAAAATAAATAAAAAAATAAGCACAGAGAACTTTTACAGTCATTTGTGTGTTTAGGTTAAACTTTCAAAAATCAAATGGTGGAAAGTTTGTGGAGAAAAACCTTCAAGCTTTGCTTAAAGGGACAATATTATGTGTTTCTCAGGCATATATTTAAATACTATACCATAATAAAGTATCTGTCACCTTTAGCTGTGACTAAAATGCTGTTTTTATGTTTAAATGGAA